TTGTTTAAACAAGCATATAAAATTTGCATTTTCTCTTATTGTTTTCCTTGGTAGCATAAAATAATTTTGCGCTAAATAAAAACAATCTACATTACTATGCCTTCCTCTTATATAGTATTTTTCACACTTGTTTTGCTTTGTTAATTGTAAATCATCGAATATCATTAAATTATTTTTAGTAAGATCAAGATCTTCAGGTTCTGGTACATCATCTGCTGTTTCATAAAACTGACACTCCATATCTATTTTATTTTTTAAATTTTTTGAATGAACTTCAATTACAAGATCAGGGCTTATTTCCATCTTATCTATTTTATCTTGTAACTTAAATATTTTAAGAATATCTTCTTTTGGTACTTTTTTTTCAAAAGAACTTTTTAATATTTTGTATTCAGGTTGAAAAAGAGATTTTCCAAAAACTTGTAAATTATTATAGTCTAACCAATCAGGTCTTATAAGTAAATTCAATAATAAATTTGTTTTTCCACAACCAGACTTCCCAACTATAAGTCCTCTTATACTTCTTGGTAATAAATCATTATTATGACGATTATTTTTATTTACATTATATGATAAATCTAATACTTCCATTTTCTTATATAAATAATTTTTTTAAATTAAATAAAAATAAAGTAATAAAAAATGTATTGCGTTAAATGTAAAAACAAAACAGATACACTCAACTTACAACATGTTGTAAGTAAAAACAATAGAAATATGCTTCGTGGAAATTGTGCACTATGTGGAACAACAAAAACTCAATTTACAAAAGGAACTAAAGGTGGTGATTTAGTGGAATCTATTAATAATTTTACAAAGAATAAAAAATTACCTTTTCAAAAGTTTAAAGGTGAAATGCATTTACCAGGTATGAACTTTGCAGGACCTGGCACTAATTTAGATGAAAGATTAACTTCTACTGAAATGCCTAAAGAATGGAGCATGCCTGTAGATAAAGTTGATAAAGCAGCTTATATTCATGATCTTGCTTATAAGCATTATCCAGACAAAGAGCATAGAAATTTAGCTGATAAAATGATGCTTGAACAAATGGATGCTATACCTAATCCTACACCTCGTGAAAAATTGGAAAGAAAGATTATAAAACCTATCATATCTGCTAAAGTAAGGTTTGGTATGGGAAATAAAGAACCAATGAGTATTAAAGAATTATGTCAAAAAAACTACCAGCGCACAGGAAAAAAGCAAACGACCTGAAATGGACTGATGAACTTGCAAATGAACTTCATAAACCTGTTATAAAACATTTTAGAAAAAGAAAAGTGATTGTAAATGGAATTGATGAAATATGGGCTGCTGATTTAGTTGACATGCAAGCTTATTCTAAATTTAATAATGGTATAAAATACTTATTAATGGTAATTGATATATTTTCAAAGTATGGATGGATAATTCCACTGAAAAGTAAAACTGGAATCGAAGTTGCTATTGCATTGAATAAAATCTTTAAAATTAGGAAATGCGATAAATTATGGGTTGATAAAGGTTTGGAATTTTATAACAAACATGTTAAAGCATTAGGTGTGCAGCTCTATTCAACTGAAAATGAAGAAAAAAGTTGCGTTGTTGAACGATGGAATAGAACAATGAAAGAAAAAATGTTCAAATACTTTTCTGCTAATTCTACGAGAAAATACATCGATGTTTTAAATGAAATGGTAAATCAATACAACAACACAAAGCATTCTTCAATTAAAATGACTCCAGCTGAAGCAAGCGATAAAAAGAATGAGAACATTGTTTGGCTGAATCTAAATGGTAAAGTGATATCTAATCCTATCAAACCCAAGTTTTCAATAGGTGATAAAGTGAGAATAATTAAAAAGAAAGGAGCGTTTGAA